CCGGGGACCAAGCCGGGCGCCGTCCTGCAGGAGGCGACAGCTTCGCGGGCAGTCGGGTCGCGCGCGAGCTCGAGGCCGGAGGAGACCAGAGGGTGCAGCCGAGCGCGGCGGGCGGGACCAGCGGAGTTCCGGGAGTCGCTGCGAAGCTCGAGCGCGCCCGGCCGCCGCGCCGTCGACCGACCGCGGGGACCTGCACGCTCGGCTCCCCTTAGGTCAGGGGCCGTCTAGCAGCCGGAGCTGGCCGGGCGGGGATGGTGGAGGAACTGGCCTCTCCCGCTCGCCCGCGGCAGCCGCTCGTCCCCACGCTGCGGTCCAGGGGGCGACGCCGCGCGGGGTCCGCTGCCCGCGACCTGCAGCCTGGCGGCGGCTGGAGCCCTGGAAGAGCCGGGCCTGCCCAGGCAGACCGCGGCGGGCCCCCCGAGCCTCCCGAGCCCACCGTCCCGGGAGTTCGCAGACCAGCGTCCCGCCTTGGCTTTGCTGCCCTTTGGAGACAAGACCAGGTACCCTTGGGCATCCCGCTTCCTACTTTCCCGGGGAGGGCGCGGGGGATGCCCGCACACCCGGGGAGGATGTGGCGCGGGAGGACGGACAGGTGACCTCAGCGCTCCCTGCCTCCTCACGGAGCTGTCAGGTGGAGACCCGATTTGTGCCGTGGGTAGGGCTCTGACAGGCCCTCAAGGACTCAGTCTCCCTGTTTTGCCTCCTTGCTCCAAACTCTCTGACCTTAGAGGGTTCGGAGGATAACTCTGAAAGGAAAGCAGTTTCTTTTTAAAACATGACTGCGAGTTTGAAATGTGAGGCACCAAGACCATCTAGACCTAGAATTATCGATTGCTATGAGCCAACAGTTTCCAGGGGTCACCAGCTACTTTGAGACCATCTGTCCCCCAGTGTCCTTTCCACACTGGTCCTCTGCTCTCTGAATTCGTGCACAGAGAATGGGGAGGGCCCAGACAGCTGGGCTGGGTTTTAAAGTGTGTGTTGGAGGTATTCTTTTAGGTACGTTATTAACAGTTAAAAGAATAAAGCCAACTTATCTAAAAATTAAGCACACCTGTCCCTTTCTTTGGTCTTTTCCTCCTTGAAGACAAACTTGGGACTGTTACTGGAGGTTTTTAACTAGTCCTAGGTTAGAGTGCTCTCAAAGCCAAAAATCTTAAGTGTAGCAACATTTTATTTGAAAATAGAGTTGTTAAACATTTCTTTGATTTCTGTTACTTCCAAGTAGCATAGGATTAAAATTCCAGTTCTCACAATTACAAATGTTCCTGGTAGTATTTAGATCATCTGAGACTCCAAAAGAATTTTTCCAGCTAGTATTTAGAGTGCGTGCATGTGTGTGTGTGTGTGTGTGTGTGTGTGTGTGTGTAAGTAAGAGAAGACTGTTGGGTACAACTTGGAAAGTGAAAGTGTAAAATAAAGTAACTCAGGTCCTCTTTTTTAGGAATTAGGATGTTCTTTTTGTCAGTAGGAAAAATAAAATCTAGGAATTTTGGTATAACCAGAGGGCATTCATGAAAGCACTGTTGCTTGGTTTCATGTTGGTGGCATTAGCTTTTAAAATAAGTTGGACATCACTTGGCTATAAAAATGCCTAGTGTGGTTTACATTATCATGGTAAAAAATTATTGTATCATTTCCACTTTACAGCACAGTCTTTTAAAACTTGAAGCTCACACCAGTTTGTTATGCTTTGTAAGTATAAAATATATGTGTATGTGTAAAAGATATATGTGTTCAGGTAATCCATAAACAGAATAGTTCAGAGGCATGCACAACATTTTAAAGTTTGAAATAAGTTTAGAATTGTTTAGATTTCCCATCTGCAACAGAAATCAGGCTTGCTGAAGGAACTATTTCTGCGTTATTTGTCATTTGACACAAATGTCCTCTCTCTTACCCCCAGGCCCAGTTATCTGCATTCAAGGGTAGTGCTTGAACATTATGAAACTTCTGGCATTCCTAAATTTTCAAACACCTGCTATTTTTGGTAGACATCGCCCCAGAAATCATCCTTAAATACACAGCTGAGCACTGTATTAAACAGTAGTTTCCAGGGTAAGAAAATGGATGTTTTTAGTAGCCACAACCGTTTGTGTGAATTTGAGCACGAAAGTTAAGCAATTCACAACACAATCTCTTGGTATGAAAATTAATGTTTCTTCTAGTAAACTACATGTGGAAACTTACCACCATAGCTGTCCTAGACAACTCGCTGTCCTCCAGGACTGAGTCTGTATAAATTGGAGGCTTTAATATGCAGGCATTTACAAAACAAACCTTCTGGGTGCTAAAGGCACTTAACAGCTGTTGTTATTCTTGACAGCATCCCGGCATAAAGTTACCTTCCTTAGTTACTAAACAGCTCTGTGATTTCCCCTGAAATCACTTAGTATTGAAGGGGTCAGATAGTTGGGTTTTATTGCTTTGTTTTATACCAGGCAAAAGCCTGAGAATATTGGGCTTATACTGGAGACAGGCGATATTAAGTGAGGACAAGTTTTATACCAGGTTGGACCAAAGTCCAGAAACAGAAGTTTTACAGTTCTGTGCTGTTCTGTGATGTTTATTTGACGCTGCAGTGCTGAATTAGTTGGGTCTCCAGGTCCTGTGTTTAGTGCTGAATTAGTTGAGGCTCCAGGTCCTGTGTTAGTGCTGAATTAGTTGAGTTTCCAGGTCCTGTGTTTGCAATTGTTACTTTGCCATTTTCTTCTTGATGTTTTATGGGTTTTATTGTTGTTGTTGTTGTTGTTTGTGTGTGCGTGTTTGTGCGTGTGCGCAGTACTGGAAATCAATCATGGCCTTCTGAATTTGAGACAAGCGCTCCACTATGGAGCTATATTATACTCAGCCCTATAATTTTTTTTTTTTTTTTGAACAAGGTGTCACTAAATTGTGTGAAGTTGTGTGATAGGTAGTCTCGAACTCACTATGCAGCCCAGGCTTATTTGATCATTCAGCCTCCCAAATACTTGATGACTGGGATTATAGACATAGGCCAGCATGCCAGGCTCTCTTCTCATTTCTGAAAGATGCAGCATTTTTATTTGTAAGGTACAAATAAATGGAGGATGTAAAATGAATGTTGAGATCCATTTCTAAAACATATCATTTCTATAATAACAGAGGAATATAAATTTTTTCACAGTGTTCAAACAAATGATTTGGTAAGCATATTTTGTCAGGCAGTGGGTAGTATTTAAGATGGTAAAATCTTCAAAGTACTGGCCTGGCCTAACTTTGACATTATTTATATCATTTTATAATGGTAATTCTCATACAATAATGGCCATTTTTCTTGTGTCCTACGCTCTGTCTCGCCAGCTCTGTGCTGCCTTTTAGTCTCCTGGGAGCATGCTGCTAGATTGAATTCTTCCTTCCTAGAAGAATCCATAGGAGCCCTGAAACATTGGGCACTTCTCACTGCATTTCTGTCTATTCAGAGGTCCAGATCCTTCTTAGAGCCTAAACAATGTTATCAAGATTTGTGAAAATGTGGCATGTTTAATGTAGTATTGGTTAGTTATAGATGGCTATCTTGAAATAGTGATTTGCTTACTATAATGCAAATTTAAATAGGCTTTTAAAATTGATAGCTTTTTTTCAGTTTGTGATCTGAAGATTACAGAAATTGCCCGTATTTTCATGAGATCATGTCCACAGCATTCCAGGATTGAGAAACATGTTGATTATGCTAGGCAAAAAGATTTTTCTTTCTTCTGGTATTAGAGATCGAATCTATACTGGTACCCTACGCAAGTAAGTACACTACACCCCAGCCCCAAATTTCCTTTTTAATTAATTCCACTTACATAGATGATTTGACTTTGGTTTCTAGTATCATTCCTTTTAATGTAATTACAACTTTTAAAATTTGTATAATGTTATGCTTTCACCCCTCATCTGATTGCAGAGAATGTGTCTTACTGAAATGCCCTCTTTTCCATTAGATTTGAAAACACAAAGGCTGTTCAAACTGCCTGCTATGTTTTAATAATACTCCAGAATGATTTCCTTTCTAATGGAAAAGACTAAACAGAACCGGGTAGCATTTATTAGTTTTACCCCAAACATAATTTACTAAACTTATGGTTTACTAAACTTGTGGTTTTTGAGTTACATTTGTATTTCCTTTGTTTGCTTTTTGTTTTGTTGTTTTCAGAGCTGAATGTAGGATAAAACCCTCTTCCTAAGATTAAAAAAACGTTTGGTAAGCAGTAAAACAATTAAGTAAATCAATGAGTTGATTGATTGTGGAGAGTTGCAAATGGTTAATTTCTAACCATGCAGACTAGCTACTGACTTTAAAGGACTCCCTGTAAAATTAGTTTAGCTGCACAGATGTAGATTCAGGTTGACTGCTGTTAATGGCTGATGAATGCACCTTGGAAATAGCTTTCATGTCAGGTTCTCAGGAGGACGTGTCTGTGAGCTGTATGTCTAGGGATAACAGCTGGAGAAAGTTTTTCCACATGACTCATTCGA